GTGCTTCCTCTGATAGGGACCCATCTCGACCTCTGTCTATAATTCTTTTTTTTATCCACATCCAGTGAGTGATTTTAGCTTCTAATATTGCTTCATGTTGATGTAGGCATGAGTCATTATCGCCTTGAATCAAATTTTCATGAACATCCATTAGAGGCACTGATACACTGTTCGAAATTTTTTGAAATTTCATGGAAGATATTATAGTAAATTCGAAAATATTATAGTAAATATTATAGTACGTCAATAGGCAGCAGGGACCTAGGATGAATTGATGTGGAGGATCACCTCGAGATATGGATTTCTCGCAATAGCTCGAAATTGGGATCAGCAGAAGAAACCTACCCAGGGTGCGACCGGAGCATCATCGATGGTTCAACAACGTCAAGCAAAACACGGAACAAATCAGTATCTATGTCTATCTTTTATCAAAATACTAATAGTATTCGTAACAAGGGACCACAGACGTGACAGGGTTGACCCGACCAGGGATAGAGGCGGAGGTGTGCTGGCTGCGATTAGGGCAACGTTGATGATCCATAAAATTGATATTTCCTAAATTAGTATCCTGTACCTGTCAATTGACATTTTGGCCCTGAAAATTCTGTATCGAATTGGAAACTCTAGCACTGAATGACGCGAGTTGTTACAAAAGAGTTGTTTTTTGTCAGTTATTATTAAATTGCTCGTGATTTATATTGTCTATGAATATCAACACAGTTCCGAAGTCATCCTACAAGCAGAGAGAATGCTATTTTTCAATCAAAAAATGGACTTCGACATCAGAGTAACAAAAAACTAAGAATTTTGCAGTGTGCCTGGCTGCAATACATAGTTCAGCCTATCGTAATCCTACAGTGAGATTCTTACAATTTCCTTTTAAAAATCGAGTTTCGTAAAATTGAAGATGAAATTCGGTGAAGAAGAAACAGTTGATCGTCTAATCGCTTGGAAAAAAATCTTGAAAATCGGAAAGCCAGTGACAAAATCAATGAAAGTGCATTCATTACATTTTACCAAACACAACTTCTTCACTCAATGTAAGTTCGGCTGAGAATCTAATGAAATGATTCAATTTTCTATTGTCAGTTGATTTTTTTGCGATCATTCGTGAAATAAATAGACTTTATTCATTTCAATTGTAGGTGAAAATCGTAAAGTTGTTCACTTGAAACTCATAAGTATCCCGTCTTGTAATTTGCCAAAGGACAGCAAATCGACACAATTCTTGGATAGACACTTTCATGGGCAAACTGCCCGTCGAATCCCAACCAAAAACGTTACAATTTTGAATTACTCCAATTGTTTACAAGGAAGATTATACGAACCTACTGACGATTACCTGCTCATGCTAGTTCGTATTCCGGCCGCAAGGCGGCCATGATATTGGCCACGCCCCCCTCAGAGTTCCCAATAGCGCCAGTGGTTATCGTTATTATTTACATTACTCCAGATTTTCCGGTCGATATTCATATTCATATTCTGTGCAATAATTCATAGGAAATCGATCAGAAAGTCACAGAATAGGATATGGTTGAATTCATCTCAATGAGATGCACAACTTTCTGGGGGTCAAAAATGATGTTGCCATTTGAAAAAATTGTCCTCATGCTCGCAGCATAAAAAAATAAACAATAGGAACATCAATTTCATCTGCACTGAATTTCCCGGTGACACGCCAAAATTCCCACGTCAAAATTCCACGCCCCATATTTCCCTGGTCAAAATTCCCCCCCGTCATTTTTCTTCCCGACATAATTCCTTCATGTTAATATTTCTTGCGCCAATTCTCCGAACTCAATAATTCCTGCCGATAAAATTCCCCGTATGGCGTATTTATGCGGTTTTTTTGAAATTATATATTTGGGTCGTGAAAATCTTTATTCAAATTTTAATAACAGGCAACATGAATTTTATGAAATTGATGAAATTGATCCTTTGTTCGAGGTAGGTCTGTTGCGGGGGGATTTTCTCACGGGGAATTTTGACACGGGGGTATTTTGAGGGGGGGAATATTGACCTGGGGAATTTAGACGCGGAGGTTATTTCGACGCAAGGAATTCTGACGCGGGAATTTAGACGCGGGGAATTTTGACCGGGGAATTTTGGTGTGTAACCGAATTTCCCCCTCCATACCCTACAACTTTCATCTGAAACGTTTTGCTGCATCACCCCTCCTTGGAAACATTTTCAACTGTCCTGTTTCAAATCGGACACCCTGTACATCTACTCCTTTGCATAAATACCATTTTTTCTATCTCATACAGAATGAAAATTTTCTGCAAATTTGATTCAGAGTAGTTCGAAGTAAGTCAGATAAATAAATTTTGTATTCCTGAATGTTCTATCCGTACTCCTTTAGGGAATGATTTCATTCATTTCGATATTTTACAGGACGGAATCAATTGCCAATCAACTGTCATCAGTGATTAACAATGTGAAGGATTACAAAATTTCAGATGAATGTGTTTGGTTCAAGATGTTCTATATTTTTTTACATTGTTCCAAACAAGTGTCATACAAAAAAATATAAAAATAGTAATATTTAGAGAATTTTGAGAAAACAGGTATAATTATTTTGATTTGTCGAGATAGAAAATATCGTCATTATTGAATGCCAATGGACTTAACTTTATCGTGATGGTTTGGAAATTTACAATTGTAGAGGCTTGCGTTAAAGTTCTTGAAAAAGATATGCACATAAACAATTATCTCANGCTTATTTTATATCGCTTCGAGTCTGATGAGACTATATGGCGATTGATCAAGACTTTAAAAATGGTTAGATCTCACCATTCTACCCGGCCAGGAATCGAACCTGGAACCTATCCGTTGTGAGGCAACGGCCTTAACCACTACGCCAGGCCACCGGGCAAGAATCGTTTCTCATGAAAATATACTTTGTTGATCAATTTAAAAACTACTCCTATGGTGAATTGGCAATGCCTTTGTCCCCACTAAACTTTGTAGTGAAGTTCTTGAATTGTTTCTGCATTGTGGAAATTTGTTTTACCACGTTGGCTATCATTCGCGGAATATTCTTCAAGAATTCGTATATTTTTCCGATTGCTTTAAAGGGATCCAACTGGGCCTGAAAAATTTAATGATTTGAATTTTTTTAATCCACTGAAGAGTACATTGTTGATGAATTTATCATAGAAGCATTAAAATGCCCTTACCTCAGCGCTCGTTATCATTGCAGCGATAATGCACACCCGAGTGAAAATTTTACCGGGTCTCCCGACGTAGTTTCAACGTTTTGAACCTACATTGCTTTGATGTTCAAATTTTCCGCCGTATTTTCACCGTACTTTCAACTTATCTCAACGTGAAGGCCCATGGACGTTAAAAAACACTCAATATCCACCGTATATTAAACATTCTCAACGTTAATGACGTTTGTTTTCTGTTAACATACGTTGTAAGTTTCGACGTCCACATTTGATTATATCAAGGTCATTATTGACGATAATTAAACAATTCATTACCGTGTTAAAGACTCACGTAACTAAATTATTAGTGTTAGTACATTAATAACATTAGCTCGAAGTTCAAACAATTGTGCGTCTGAAGGATTAGTTGGGTCCAAGGATCAGAAGGGTTAGTTGAGTATAAGGATCAATTGAGTATAAGGGTCAGATGAGTATAAGGGTGAGTTGAGTCCAAAAGATGACGCGAATCTAAGGGTCAGATAAGTAAAAGCCTCAGTTGAGATTGAATGTCAGTTGAGATTAAAGGTGAGCTGAGCCGAAGGGTCAAAAAAGTACGAAGGGTCAGGCGAATCCAAGAGTCTGTAATGTAAGGGTCAGATAATTAAAAACCTCAGTCAAGTTCAACTCTCAGTTGAATTTAAGGGCCAGTTGTGTGTAAGGGGCTGTTCTGGCGCAGAAAGATTTTCTCCTGATCAATTCATTTTTTTGTTACTTCGAAAATATTAAACTCAAATTTCCCAGGGCATTAAATATTTCAAATTTCCTAGAATTCAATTTCTACGCGCGTAAATCGTTTTATTGCGGGTCTTCGGTGAAATATTTTAATCTCTCGTGTCTTCTTCACAATAATCGAATTTTTCCCGTCATTTGTCACGGTCAGCACAGTTGTTGTCTTTTTCGAAAACAAAGATTATATTACGGTCGATATTTTCCCGAATTCTGGAAATTTTAATCATCGCTCTCGATACTCTAATCCTCGTTAATCCCTCCACTCAAAACAGTTGTCACATTTGAGTTGGTTTATAACTCCAAACATAAAGGCTTTTCTTTCACCTTTGTGATTATTACCCTCAGCAGTCCCTAACGATCGGTTTTCCCGGGCCTTATGGATTCCTTGAATTTTCCCATACCTCATTTCCAGGAATCCACGCGGACTCAACTCAACTCCAACGCTTCCCTTCGGTCCCCGCCTCCGAACCAATAGGAACGTTGCATTTGCAATGTCGGAAAATTTTTACCGCCGAGCCGACCAAAATAGTTTGCAATATACACCTCTCTTCATGGTCCGTGTCCTTTCACGAAAATACTAAATTCTCGCATTCTCATCATAAGTACCACATCGGTTAACTTCAACAACATTAACTAAATTGTTTTGTTCAAGGATTAAAACGAATTACATCGCGTCCGATTACGTTCGACATACGTCTTTCGACATAATCAATTTTCTTTCGGTCATCGCGACATTATCGAGCATTCGACGGACTCCCCCTCGATACCTCTGAACATTTTTATTCCACCTTTTGATATCCGTTTAATAATTCAACTTTCTATTCTTCATAAACATTGTTTTGTATCAAAATAAATTGAGTGCAGTGAATAATTTATAAAACATTTTTTAAACCAATGAACTTTTAATAATTTATAAACAAATAAAAACAAACATTCCCACAATCACCTCCTCAGTATCTTAATACTGTGCGAGTGAACATAAAATTTGGTCCTTCGAGCCGGATATCAAACGTAAAAAGGTCGGTACTTAGTGAAACAGTGAGTGAAGTGTGAGTAGAGATGCCAGGCTCAACGTCTTTAACAGATGATTCAGTGAACCTCAACATGGAAGAACTCACCAATCTTCGAAGGAGACGAGGCTTTATCCAAGCAGCCATAACGAATTTCACATCAATCGTGGAGACATACACAACAACTCCCGAGAACAACAGCAAGCCGTATCGACTCCAGGCAGCTCTTCAAAGACTCAAGGATAGATTCATGACATTTCCTGAAATTCAAGATCGTTTGGAAGAATTGGATGAGGAAGAAACGCCAAAACGTTTCAAATTAGAAGATTCCTACGACAAGGCTGTAGGAGATGCTTTGGAACTCCTGGAGCCCCATCAACCACCGAGTATAGCATCATCACAATTACAATCCTCTCCGCCAGCACCACCGGCCATCATCAACAATTTCCCTCATCAACCCCGATTGCCGGAACTCAAAATTCCTGAATTCGACGGGTCGATCGAGAATTTCTATTCATTCTGGGATTCCTTTAGAACGCAGATTCACGATTGTTCATTACTGAAAACCACTCAGAAGTTCGGCTATCTACGCGGATTACTGAAGGGCAGCGCTGGTGCCGCAATCGGTTCTCTGGGAACAACAGAAGCAAACTACGCAACTGCAATTGACATCCTCAAGAAAAAATTTGACTGCAAAAAGAAGATACTCCGGCGGCATTGGAGCATCATGCGAGACTATCCATCTCTACAACGAGGCGCGCTAGGACAGCTCGCAGATGTCATGAATCAGAATATCCAAGCATTGGAAACTCTTGGACAAGATGTCACCAGCTGGGATCTCCCTCTTATCGATCTCATCACGCAGAAGTTGGCACCAGAGACTGTTTGGCAGTGGGAGCTCAGAACTCAGGGAAATGAATTGCCCACGTATAAACAATTATTGGATTTCATTGAAGCAAGAGCAACCTGCCATGATACCAGGACAACAGCTCTAAGGAGCTATCCTCCAACTTCTTCAGAGACATCTTCATCTGACAAGAAGAAAGAGAAAAAACTCCGAAGACAAGCCTTTGTCACTGCATCAGTGGGTCCATCAGCATCAACACCAGCGACATCAGCATCAGCGGGGTCATCGTATGTTCTACATTGCGGGACAGTACACCGCCACATCAGCAAGTGTCCTTTGTTCAAGGGTCTAACTCCAGAACAGAGGTATAGCAAGACTAAAGGTGCTGGCTTATGCATCAACTGTCTCAAGCCAGGACACGAACGCTCAGTGTGCATATCCTCAGTAGACTGTTCAATTTGCAAGGACAGGCATCACACATTGCTCCATTTTAACACTGGTGAGAAGTCTACTCCCACACAATCATGACTAGCTCAGGCACAGAGCCCCTGCACACGGCGAACAGCGCTGATCGTCAACTCTTCAACGGGTGATCTGATGGTCACGGCGAAGGTCAACGTGCTCGATACTCACCGACAATCTGTTGACTGTCGAGCACTTCTGGACACCGGATCGACCACCAACTTCATGAGGGAGAGTCTAGCCATCGCTCTCAAACTACCATTGAAACCATTCGCCGTGCCAATAGGAGCTCTAAATGACGCAAATACCACCACCAAGTATTTAGTCACTGCCACCATACGATCTCGAACAGCTGAGTATGAAAGGACACTCAACTTCTTGACAGTGCCCAACATCACTCATGCTGTACCTGATCAACCTCTTGATCACAAGGCCATCAGGATTCCTGCCAACATTAAGCTTGCGGATCCTGACTTCCATCGTCCTGCACCCGTGGACATGCTCCTCGGATCTGGACCAACACTTTCGCTACTTTGCCAAGGCAAGAAAAAGCTCACGCCAGCAGATCAACCAGAGCTTTATCTCCAGCAGATTCTGCTCGGCTGGGTAATCGGAGGAAGCGCGCCAACAATGCAGCCAATACGCCAACGCGTATGCAATGTTATCAACACCTCCAACCTGGATTTCTATCTCTCCAAGTTCTGGGAGATTGAAGAAGCTGACACCACTTCATCTGCAACCAACGACGAATCGGATTGCGAACGACACTTCCTGAAGAACATCAAACGTGACAATTATGGTAGATACATTGTTGCTCTGCCGTTCAACGAGAAGAAATCTCTGATTGGGGAGTCTCGATCACGAGCTTTCCGCCGACTCAAATCTTTGGAGAGGAGACTAGAGGGCAATGCAGAACTGAACACTCAATATTGTGCGGTCATCAAAGAATATCTCGACCTTGGTCATTTAACAGAAGTGACTGAGGCAGATTTATCTAGCTTCGGATTTTATTTGCCACATCACGCGGTGATCAAGGAGAGCAGCTTGACGATCAAGGTCCGTGTTGTCTTTGATGGATCAGCAAAGACCAGCACCGGAATATCTCTCAATGAGACTCTACATGTCGGGCCTACAATCCAGGACGACATATTCTCTCTTCTTCTGCGCTTTCGCCTTCATCCGTACGTACTCACCGGGGATATCGAGAAAATGTACAGACAAGTTCTCGTACGCCCTGAAGATCGACAATATCAACGGATCCTGTGGCGCGATGGGAAAGAACCAGTGAGAACGTTTGAACTTAATACAGTGACGTTCGGACTCTCTGCAGCTCCGTATCTTGCGATTCGGTGCCTTCATCAACTTGCAAAAGACGAAGGCCATCGACATCCAGGAGCTGCACGGGTGCTCCAGAGTGACCTGTATGTCGACGATCTACTCACCGGGACACAGACTGGAGAAGAAGCATTGGATAAACTGGTGAAACTTGGTGGATTCAACCTGAGGCAATGGGCCTCTAACGATCCATTAATTCTGAACGAATTGACATCAGACAGTGTCAATCATCATCTTCAAATTGGAGATTCCACGACCTTGAAGACATTGGGCGTGCTCTGGAATTCATCAGCTGATACCATCACGTATACGGCCAAGGTGTCGTCGAACGAGGCAGTTACTAAACGGATTGTTCTATCTGAAACTGCCAAAATTTGTGATCCCCTTGGTCTCCTCTCGCCAGTGGTCATAGTGGCGAAGATCATCGTGCAGAAACTCTGGACACTAAAAATAGGCTGGGATACACCACTCCCGTCTGACATTCAAGAAGAGTGGCTTCAGTTCTATGGACAACTTCAAGACATCAGCATGGTGACCTTTCCACGATTTGCACTTCAAGAAAAATCCAAGGAAATCCAACTCCACGGATTCAGCGATGCCAGTCAAGATGCCTATGGAGCTTGTGTGTACCTTCGTCCAATTAGGAGCAGTGGGGAGGTCAAAACCACATTATTATGTGCCAAGTCTCGTGTTACACCTCTCAAACAACTCACGATTCCAAGACTTGAACTCTGTGGGGCACAGCTACTCATCAAGCTCATCCAAGGCATCAAGAGGACCATCACTATCAACATCGATCGCACAGTCTACTGGACAGACTCCACTATTGTCCTACATTGGATTCATACACCTGCACATCAGCTGCAAACGTTTGTCTCAAACCGAATAGCAGACATTCAGTCCAAATCTCAACCTGATAATTGGAGACACGTGAGGACTCATGACAACCCAGCAGACTTGGTATCTCATGGACAGCCCATCCAGGACTTCATCACCTCCAACATTTGGTTCGAAGGTCCTTCATGGCTCCAAGCAGAGGAAAGCAGCTGGCCAGTTCTCAACCTGCAGTACTCATCACCCCCATCTGATATACTCTAATCCTCGTTAATCCCTCCACTCAAAACAGTTGTCACATTTGAGTTGGTTTATAACTCCAAACATAAAGGCTTTTCTTTCACCTTTGTGATTATTACCCTCAACAGTCCCTAACGATCGGTTTTCCCGGGCCTCATGGATTCCTTGAATTTTCCCATACCTCATTTCCAGGAATCCACGCGGACTCAACTCAACTCCAAGGCTTCCCTTCGGTCCCCGCCTCCGAACCAATAGGAACGTTGCATTTGCAATGTCGGAAAATTTTTACCGCCGAGCCAACCAAAATAGTTTGCAATATACACCTCTCTTCATGGTCCGTGTCCTTTCACGAAAATACTAAATTCTCGCATTCTCATCATAAGGAACACATCGGTTAACTTCAACAACATTAACTAAATTATTTTGTTCAAGGATTAAAACGAATTACATCGCGTCCGATTACGTTCGACATACGTCTTTCGACATAACCAATTTTCTTTCGGTCATCGCGACATTATCGAGCATTCGACGGACTCCCCCTCGATACCTCTGAACATTTTTATTCCACTTTTTGATATCCATTTAATAATTCAACTTTCTATTCTTCATAAACATTGTTTTGTATCCAAATAAATTGAGTGCAGTGAATAATTTATGAAACATTTTTTAAACCAACGAACTTTTAATTATTTATAAACAAATAAAAACAAACATTCCCACAATCACCTCCTCAGTATCTTGATACTGTGCGAGTGAACAGGGCAGTTGAGTGTATGGGTCAGATGAGTGCGAAGACTCTATTGGGCCTGAGAGTCAGATGAGTCTAAGAGGAGAATAAAAGTCAAATGAGTCTGAGGGTTAGATCGATTCTGAGGGTCAGGTGAGCGAAAGGTCATCTGACTTTTAGATTGAACTGACCCTTAAACTAAACTCAGCTTTTTACTCATCTTACTTTTAGATTCGCCTGACCCTTCGTACTCTTTTGACCCTTAGACTGAACTGACTCTTAGATTCGCCTGATCCTTCGGACTCAAATAACCCTTAGACGCATCTGACCCTTAAACTCAACTGACACTTGCCCGTAATTGACCTCTAAACTGAACTGAAGCTTTTGTGTATCTGACCCTTACCCAACAGACCCTCAGATTCGTGTGATTCTTCGGACTCGGCTGACCCTTATATCCATAAGGCTCTATGCTGAAGGTTTTACGCTTATTGATAAAAAAAAACCATCTGGCCTTCATACTCATCTGACCCTTAGATTCATTTGATCCTTAAACTCAGTTCTCTTAAACTCAACTGACATTTGAACACAACTGATTCTTATACTCACCTGAGCCTTTTACTTATCTGACCCTTAAATTCGCCTGACCCTTCGTACTCTTTTGATCCTTAGGTTCAACTGACCCTTAGATTCGCGTGATCCTTCACACTCAACTAACTCTTACACTTATCGGATCTTTACACTCACTGACTTTTATATTAAGATTCTGACCCTTAGACGCCTTAGACCTATATGGACTCTAATTCCCTCTCATCTCCTCCCCCTGCTCGTTCCCTCTTAATTTCCTGTATTACTCTATTGCCTACTTTCTTTCTGTTTTTTCCTATTTTTCTTCTTATTAGTTGCTTATATAAACCCGAAAAAAATACAACTCGCCACAAGCAACTGTACAGCTCAGAAGCATACCGGAATATCCTGCGATCACTGAGCTTGAGCAGTAGCGAGTAAAACCAGAAAAAGGATGGATGACCGAAAGGGAACACAGCAGAACTATAAGCAGGGATATCTCGAGAACCAATGGACCGATCCGTTTTTTTCTTTTTTTCCCATTTTTGTTTCACCGAGTTAATAATATTTATACTTTTGCCATTCTTCCACTGATTAATTTATGCAATATTTAATCAATTAATAGATGTTAGGATGGAACTGGTAGTGTGAAGAGAGAAGGGGGGCGGAAGGAAGGAAAGAATGTACGGTGGAGGAACGTTAGGGATACGTTTAATTTCAACCTAATTTCAACGTACAATCTGGAACAAATGGAAAAAAGAGAAGGTATTTACGTCGAAAGTAGGTTGAATCGGTGCATTTGAGCCTGTACACTGGACAACGTACTTTCAACGTCCTAAACCCACCAGTGGACCTTGAAACTACGTTGTGAGACCCGGTAAAATTTCGACTCGGGCGAGTGTGTGGCTCCGGCGGTCCAAGCTAAGCACCGTTCAGTCTGTCCAGTACTTGGATGGGTGTCCACTTAGGCACACCTAACCGCGTGAGACTACAGTTGCGAGGCACGAATGTAGAGAACCACCGTGTCCATTGGTCACACTGACTCAATGGGCACAGTGGAATCCCTGCAATATCGGCCGGCTGCACGACTGAGGTTTTCCATGGTTTCCCTGGCAGTCCAATCCCGAATAGGGTGCAGTTGGGGATAAAGTCGGCCCATGGCAATGCAGATACACGGAGAAAAATTTTTGGTAAAAATTACCTTTCCAGAAGAATAAACGTGTATTATTGAAATTTTTCGTCTGATTTATATCCGGAAGTTCGACAAAAATTGATGTTAAATAATAAAATTTATCATATGTAAAATAAATTTTACCCTTCCGTATGGTAATTTTCGCCAAAGGAACCAAAAATTGTCTATACATTTGTCAAAATGTATATAGACAAAGACAAAAAATATCTATGTGAATGACAAAAATTATAGTTATCCTGGTAATTATTATAAAATTCATAGAATAATTTTTATTCACCCAATTCTATTAATTTATACCCATCGTGCGCATCAAAAACTAACCAGATGCGCGCGACACTTTTTACCCTTCCAAACAATAAATTCTACCAGTAGAATGTCTCGTGGTAAAAAATCTTTGAGCTCTGTCGGTAACACTCGTGTGTTTTGGAGTATTAACCTCTGCGTGGAAGAAATCTGTAGGTAAGGTTAGTATTTTTTCCCATTCTGAAACAGTAATTGTTATCAAGATATTTGTAGAAACTACCAAGATATATAATAATTTTTATCCGCGCGTACTGGTAATTTTTACTCAGATAAGAACAAATATTATCCGGAAATGTTTATTAAAATTTATTCACATCAAGGATATTTATTGCTCCAAAAATAAACTGCTACAGAATTACCCTTCCATCTGGATAATTTTTACCTGGATTTCACGAAAATTTTTACCAAAAATTTCTCTCTGTGTAGGGAAGGGAACAAAATGTGAAAACCCGAGAGAGTATACTTATGGAACCAAAAAAATAAATAAATAAAGACTTTGAAAAAGACCAAATGGCTTATCCATCACCCACTAAAACAAAGTTTCATTAATTAAAGCGAGAGATATCTTGCATACACGGAAAAAAAATATTCTCAAAACGGGTATATAATATTGAGGAATCATAAATATCAGTATTTCGGAATCCGGAATGATATTCCGGAATATTATATTTGGGAATCTAGAATACTACTCCGGAATTCGAAATATTTTATCCTCAATTCCGGAATAATATTCCGGGGACTTCCTCACAGTGCAATACCCCGAGTGGAAATTGCTTCAGGCCCACTTGCAGCATGATCAGAACTTGATCAGGTTTTTGTAAGGTTCGACTGATCCGGCGATTCCTGATGAGAAACTGACCAAGTTCTGAGCCAGCAGATCGGATCCGAAAAACTACATGCAGGTTCGGATCAAGTTCTGATCAGGTAGACATGATCAGATGATGCCTGATGAGAACCTGACCAAGTTCTGATCCAGCAGATCGGATCCGAAAAACTACAGGCGGGTTCAGATGAAGTTCTGATCAGGTAGACACGATCAGATGATGCCTGATGAAAACCTAAGTTTTGATCCAGTAGATCGGATCCGAAAATTGCAGGATGATACCGATCAAGTTCTGGTCAGGTAGGCACGATTTCACCCTGAGGTCGGCTGCCTGACTCCAATTTGATCAAATTCGGATTTGATATCTTTGATCGGCATTTGAACGGGGTCAATTGAAGAGAAAACGATCAGATTCAGATCCGGTCCACCTGACATTAATTTTAATAAGTTTTTTGGATAATTTAATTAACTATTATTATACTATTCAAATTAAATTTTATCAACCATTATCAATAATTATTTTCAATCTTTAAAAAGGATCATTATACTATAATTAAAATGGAGAGGAAGGGGGCGCTCGTGCGGGGCGGTTGGGCCCTTGGGTGCAACGTTGATTTTTGGGAGGATATCTTGGTTTTTTGGGGAAATAATTGAGGAAAAGTGGTTTTGGGGGTGCCTCTCAATGTAATCTACGGAGAAAGTAATGAATTGGGGGGGGGAAATTGAACATTTTGGGGGGTTTTTCGACTATTTTTGGGCACGCTGGCGGAAAGGTTAAGGTCGCCCACTGGTTTGTGTTGGGGGGGGAGTGAGAGGGACTGAGTTTTTGGCGGCAGAGCTGGTTTAGTGGCGCTTTGGGTAAATGTGACGTAGAGGTTAACGTCAGGATTTTGGGATGAGCCACATGTGAATTATGTAGGGGAATGGGGGATGGCACTACGACGGGGAGAGCGACGATTATGGATGGTTCCGGGATGTTTGGGAGTCACTGATCATGCTGGAGAGGAACCTGGATGGGGCATAACGGGACGGGCTCGAACATGCTGGTGTAGCTCGAAAGCGGCTATGGGAAACGACGAGGGAGATCATGAAGATGGAACGGGAACCAGCGATGGGAACAACGGAGGTCTCTAAAGTGAGTAAACGTTGGGAGTAGAGAAATGAATAATGAGACTTGGATTCCATGGAGATATCTTGATGATTTTGGGGGGCTTGATGACTATATGGGGCATCTTTTGGCTGGTGTTGCTGAGATAAGAGGGCACTGGGATATTCTGGGGACATTGGAATGACGATTGTCATGGGAAGTTTGGAGAAACAGAATTTACCAGGAGAATCAGACTTCTTGTGATTATGGATAGACATATTTTGGGGGGGAGGGGGGGGGGTGTAACCGAGCTGTCGACTGGCGACGC